GGACTGACTCACATAGACTGACTCACACAGATATCACTCCACACACATACAATCGTGAGATGGTGGGGTCTGGGCCAAACATAGATGATGCCCAGATCCCGTACACACATACACAAATGAAAGGTGGGAGGAGAGAGGAAGGAGGTGGGGGAGGTAGACAGCACCGAAGGTCACCGAGATATAATCCGATAGGTCACCGATATGGTAGTCCAAAATGTCATCAAACAAGATCAAAATGTCGAGGACAATAAGTCATCAATGTCGGAGATACAGAGTCCTAATGTAAACGGTGTCCGAACTGTGATGCTGCCGAGTACCAACCCCAACAATCTCCAGGTCTCGAATCCGGTAAGTACCACAGCCTCATACCACCGAAGTCCAACACTGCTCTGTCCAACTAGTATGAAGTCTCCAATCTGAAGAAGAAGAAGAAGAAGTCTGAAGAAGAAGAAGAAGAAGAAGAAGAAGAAGAAGAAGAAGAAGAGAGTCGAGGAGGAGAGAGAGAGAGAGGGGACTGGCGATGGGAGGGAGGAGAAAACCTTCGGCTCCCGATACCTCAGGCGGCTATGGCCGCCGATCTGCTCAGTCGCCGCTGCTGCTGCTCCGCTCGCTGCCGCTGCTGCGATACTGCTGCTGCCGCTGCTGCGATACTGCTGCTRCCGCTGCTCSTCGTGCTCCTGCGCTAAGAATAGCGCTAGYGCTCTGGCGCTAACCATAACGCACCRCTAGAGTGCCGGTGGTTCGATCCCGGAATGAGGCTGGACCGRTACTTTTGTACCGGTGGGGCAGAGGCCGGCCTCTATGCTGCGAGKCCTGGCCGTGCCCTGAACCGTCAAGATTGACGGTTCAGCCCCAACCGGCGGGCGGCAGCCTCAAGAGCGCCGCCAGGCCCAAACGGTAATGTCGTTTGGGCCTGCCCGTCGGTTCTGGTCCAAGATGAGGCCTTTACGGCCTGTAGTACCCCCAAGGTCGGGCCTTTAGGCCCTACTGTGTCCCTCTGGCCCTAAGTCGGGTCCGGTAGGACCCGTGTGGCGTCGAAGATGTAACACACTCCCCCTCTTAAAAGACCGAGCTACCTGCGAGGGCGAAGTTGTCTGTCCGATACCAGGATGGGTCGGGTGGGACGAGCTGCTTCCTTGGCAAGGCGTCGCTTCTCATAGTCGGCGAAGATAAGGGGTGCAGAAGTCTGCAAGTCTGYACTWGAGATCCACCGAGTGTCGTCAGGCGCACATTGCTTGAATGTGACTTTGAACTGCATTGGCTTGTTGCCATACTTGCGGTGCGTGATGACTCGGTCAACTTCCTGATGTCCTTCCATAGAAGGCAGATCCTGTGATCGACGGCCGGGGAACTCGTCGGCGGAAGGTGGCGTGTAGATGGCCAGCTTCAACGAGTGGAAGACCCAGTGCACTGTAAGGTGCGGGGAATGTTGATCACGAAGGAAGGACCTTCGAGGTTGTCTCCAACGACAGAAGTGACTTCCCATGGTCCGAACCATTTCGGAAGGAGTTTGCGTGAAACGTCCTGCTCGAGCGCAAATTCCTCGGAGAGGACCCAAACAAGGTCTCCCTCGTGAAAAGGACATGGAAGTCGACGTCGGTTAGCTTGCTGCTGCATGCGGATTTGAGCCTTCTGCATATTCGCGCGGGCTTTGATCAGCAAGTCCCGGTACTTCCGAACGGAAGCGGGAGAGCAAGGGACGTCTATGTCGGCAGCCTGTGGCAAAAGCAGATCAGCGAAGATCCGTGCTTTCTCTCCACCATGATGTAGCTCGAATGGTGTGACGCAGATCGCCGGGTGCACCGAAGTGTTATAGGCGAACTCGATGTCGGGAAGCCGGTGAACCCAATCTTTCTGGTCGGGACGGATGAGCGTACGCAACATCATCTGAGCGGTCTGGTGCGCTCGCTCCATCTGGCCATCCGTCGGCGGGTGCCGAGCCGAGCTCGACTTCATTGTCGTACCGGACTCAGCCATGAGGGAAGTCCAAAAAGCCGACATGAAGCGAGTATCTCGGTCGCTCACTATGTCTTCCGGAACACCCTGGTTGGTAATCCAACCGGTGTGCAAGAGTTGTGCGAGCTCAGGCGCTACAGCATGATACTTGCAAGGAAGGAAGCGAGCATACTTGCTCAAACGGTCAACAACCGTGAGAATACCGTCATGGCCATGGCGATCGCGGGGGAACGGGCCTGTTACGTCCATAACAATGGAGAGGCGCGGTGCCCGAGGAATCGGCAATGGTTTCAGTTCGCCGAAGGGGACTCGAGATCGACCCTTGTTACGGTGGCAAACTGCACATGACTCAATGTACCTCGTGACGCCATGAAGGACGTCGGGCCAATGAAAACGCTGGCGGAGGCGTGCTAATGTGCGGTTCACGCCAAGGTGTGCCGAAAGTCGTGCGTCGTGGAATTCGTCGAGAAGACGAGTCCGTAAGATGCGATCTTGGGGCACAACTAACAAGTCCTTTCCTCTCGTGTGAAGGAGAAGGAAGCCGTCGGAAATCCGATAGTGGCTAGCCGGCGGGTGATCCGATGACAGCTCCGTGTAAAGCGTAGAGTAAGTCGGATCGGACTTGTAGCCTTTGACAAAATGCGGCTGCAAATCGTCATCGAGGTCGAATGTCGTGGTCACAATGGCACAAAAATCGGGCCGTCGTGAGAGGGCGTCCGCAGCTCGATTGGCGGGACCGGGAATGTGGCACGGGTCAAAGTCGAACTGGTCGATGTAATACATCCATCGACCGATCGTGCTAGTGACCGTATCCTGCGTTTTGTAAAAGGTCGGTGTCCGTATTCCATTTAAAACGCCGAGGGTCGAGAAGAAAGTGGCGCCACCGTTTGAGAACGGTGACGAACGTGAGTAGCTCTTTCTTCCTAGCGTCGTCGAGAGTGTTGASGAGAGGCACCTTTTGGGRGAAATACTCGACCGGATGCCAACCGTCCTCGTGACACTGTTCCAACACCGCACCAATACCGTATCCCGAAGCGTCCGTAGTCACTTGGGTGGGAAGGGTGGGGTCGTATATACGGAGGGCAGGTGCGGCTTGCATCGCTGCCTTCAACGTGGTGAACGCGCCACGGGCTGCGTCGTCGAACTCGAAGGGCACCTTCGGGGACGGAAGTCTCGACAAAGGAGCGGCCACTTTCGAGTATGACTCGACGAATCGCTGATAATATCCAGCCAAACCCATGAAAGAGCGTACATCCGTTGTGCAACGGGGTTCCGGCCAATCCACGATGGCTTGGATCTTGTTCGCTAAGGGACGAATGCCTTTCGGCGTAACATAGTGGCCCAAATACTCAAGCTCGTGCTTGGCAAACTCGCACTTGCCGCGGTTTGCTTTGTACTTGGCCAGTTGCAAACGATTGAAAACAGCGCGAAGGTGTATGA